TTGAGGGACACACAATGATCTTGTGAGGCAGTTTTTCTGCCCAAACTAGAAATTCCTTCATTAGCACCTCAGTTTGCTTGTTTCCTTTTTTGCTATTCTTCCAAGAGTTCAAGGCACTGGGGAGTATAGTGAAGTCTTTTCTGAATGGTTTATTAGCTCAACAAGCAAAGAACAGATTGATGGCAGATGACTCCCTTCCGGTGCTGAGAGGCAGTGTGGCGTGTGCTGACGTGTACAGCGGACTTCAGATTTCTTTTCCATGCAGACCTGCTTTCTTGGTCTGAGGGTAGCAGAAAGCAGGTTCTCGTGGAATTCAACGAGGAAAACAAATCTGGAAAGATAGAGACTGAATTCTGTTCTAATGTGCATCTCTGTGGACCAGATCGTGAACTTCATGAGAGGTCAGATATTCCTGCAGGGTTAGAGACAGATCAAAGTACCATCGGTGCTGGCAACGTAACGGGACTTTTAGAAATAAGACACCCTCTCACCAAGTGCATACATCGACACTATTTTAAGCAATCCACAGACCTGGAACCCGACGTAGCCATACAAGTTCAATTGGGCTAAATGTGAAGAAAAATCTGAGATTGACATCAGTCACAACCTTTATGTTCTGAAAGTACCGGAAACAGTTTGGCAATAACCCATGAAAACAGGTTTTTCACTTAAAAATCAAGTTGTGTTTGAAATTACTTGTAGCCCAGGGACAAAGCTGACACAGGCTGAAACCAAGCCCCACCGTTGTCTGGACAACGTGTCAGCTGGTTTTAACTTTCCCCCTGGACACAAGCCATGTGTGCTCCCAGCATAGCAGCTTCTGACACGAGAATTGGGTGCCCGGTTCCCAGTAACCCTTTTCTCGGTGCTGTCCTGTCGCGGTGACTGTTCGCTATAACCTGCCCTTCCGTGTTGTTTAGAAGAATTTTAATTAACTCGGCATTCTTTCCAGGGACAAATTCATAAGAGCGTTCTAAGACAGTCACAGCCCTCAGATTGTGACACCAGTGGACAAAAGCACCTAATTCTAGAGGATTCTAAAAAGCCATCTCTACACTGTATGCTATTTTCTGATGATCACAAGCATAAGATTTAACAATCATTTTCACTTTTAAAAGTTGTCCTGACGGTTTTAAGCTGATTTACAGTCTGAAGTGGGTGGGTATAAATGCCTTTATTACTTTCCCAAACGAGCAGCTCCAGTCTCGAAGGACAGCAGGGATCTGTGCTGTGCTCGGAGTGGTGAACGGTAAATTCCAGTCCAGACAGCCAGCGGCTGGGCGGCGACTGACCGGGTAACGCTCCTGGGCAGAACGGGCTGCCCCTACCCTCCCGAGGCTGGGCATCTGCCACAACACCTTTCTTCCGGCGCGGCAGGTGAGTTAGGACTCTCAACTCTTAGGGCAGTTGGCTGTGTGCTGTAATCACTGTGCTGCTATGGTTCATGGCTAACTGCAAGCTCAGCAGCCCCAAACCACGGGCCACTGCGAAGGGAGAAAGGCGAGGCTCTCTGCTCAAGATGTACAGCCTCAGACACCCACACACAGGGCGGGGCGAGTCTGTCCCGTGGGGTGGCAGTGCGTTTGAAGAGAATAGATTTTGCTCCCCTCGAGAGCTGGTGACCAAATACAGCGCAGGCGGTGATCCAGGTGGCCGGTAACCATTTCAGGAGCCTACATGTCCTGCCTTGAGCAGCAGGAAGGCTTCACCCTGCGGCGCACATTGTCCACCTGCGCTCATGGGC